GAGCCAAAAAGTTCAATTACCTATTTTAAAACAGGCCTCCATATATACATATCTCATATTGCATGGAAGAAATGAATTAAAACCGGTCTGAACAATATGTGACCCTGGAGCACAAAACCAGTCATAAGGGTCAGTTTTTCTGAAATTGAGATTTAAGCATCATCTGAAAGCTGAATAAATAAGCTTTCCATTGATGTATGGTTTGTTATGATAGAACAATATTTGAAAATCTGGATTCTGAGGGTGCAAAAAAATCTAATTATTGAGAAAATCATCTTTAAAGTTGTCCAAATTAAGTTCTTCGCAATGCATATTACTAATCAAAAATTAAGTTCTGATATATTTACGGTAGGAAATTTACAAAATATCTTCATGGAGCATGATCTTTACTTAATAGCCTAATGATTTTTGGCATAAAAGAAAAATGGATAATTTTGACCCATACAATGTATTGTTGGCTATTGCTACAAATATACCCCAGCGACTTAACACTGCTTTTGTGCTGCAGGCTCACATATGAGGGTGAATTATTTGAATGTGAACCGCTTGATTCCTAGTGGATGCATGAATTGATTAAATAAAGTTTGAATGCAATGCCAAATGCATGAAAGTAAATGGATGAGCATCTTAATAACAGCACTCCGTCTGTGTTCAGGGGTCCGTTTGGCTTGTGGCTGGATTCTGACCTGTATCGCGGCTCCAGTTACTCATGCAGCACCTTCTGCAACCGTCCTCTCAGCCTCCATCACGACTTCACCGTTCAGGATCTGGAGGTGTGGACCTTCGTCTGAGCTCAAACCTGTTCCTGCTGTTTCCCATTAACACTGCTGATAAGAACAAGCTATCCGTTGGTTCCAGCCGTGACTCGTCTGTTAACTTGAACAGAACCTGTTCTCTTCCTCATTTGTGAGCGGCTTTATAGCTTCAGCTAAATGAACGGACATGGATGCACGGTAAACATAAAGAAAACGAGTTGAGGCAGGTTTCGGGGTTAAGTTCCCATTTCCAGCAACTGTAAGCGCTCCAGAGGCCTGACGGGACTTGAGCTCAAGCCCTGAGGATGATGCCTGTGTAGGCGACTTAACACACTAGATTTGAAACGAAGCCCTTGAGTACTACTGATATGCCTGAGGCACTTTGTGATGGACTCGAGATTTAGTGTCTTTACTGTATTTTAAAAAGCACTTAGAGGACGAATGGTTTACTATGTCAGACTAACTGCCATGAAAAGGATGCAAAAAAAGGAAAAAATGGTTTGCTGTGTGACTGTGATTTCACTACTACTTATTGTTTTTTACTCTATTTAATATCTATGATCACATGTTGAATTGTTTTGGGGTTTTGTGTTTGTCATGCAGTGCTGGCGCTGCGTCTGTAAAGCACTGGGTTTACTGGGATTTCTAATAAAACTAATTGTTTTTCATTAAACTGTTTCTGTTTTTGGATTTTCTGCTTTAAAACACTCGCAGCGTAAATCATGCAACGGAAAAATGAATGCATGAACTGATCAAATGTATAGTTTGAATGCATAGGATAAAAGCGTCTGTCGAATGCATTGATGCAAATTTTCAAAGAAAGAAAAAAGTTTCCGGTCCCCACTGACTTCCATAATATTTTTTTTTTCATGCTATGGAAGTCAAGCAACTGCTTGATTATGAACATTCTTCAAAATATCTTCTTTTATGTGCAACAGAAGAAAGAAACTTATACAGGTTTGGAACAACCAAATGAAGACAAAATGATTTTTGGGTGAACTGTCCCTTTAATTGCTTTTAATGAAAACAAAAAAATAAAAAATATTTGTAGTTCTCAATATTTGTAATATTTGTATATTTGCAATATTTGTTATAGAGGTCGGCCAATATTAAATCGTTGATAATAACTGTTTCCCATCCAACAGGGAATGTTCTCAGAACGTTCTTCCAGTAACGTTAATAGAATGTTCGTTCAACGTTATCTGGGGCCGTATGTATAAAGCCGCTCAGACTAAAAGTTTAGTCCTAAGTGTGTCAAAATTTTAAGAATGACGTAATGTTACTCTTATGCCTAGACTTAAGAATAAGATTGATTCATAAAGGTTCCTAAGTGTTAAGACTAGGTCTCAGCTCCTAAATGATTTAAGAGAGCTGGAGAGGTCTCCTAACCTAGTTAGGAGTAACAAGATGGCAGCAAAGAGGAGATGACAAACACTTTCCAGCGAACATATATTGGAGTTATATGATGATATGGAGTTGATAAAACAATACAAACTACATTTTTAGTTCTCATCAGTGTCTCAGCAATGGATGCTCAGCAGTGAATGGGTGCCGTCAGAATGAGAGCTGATAAAAACATCACAATAATCCACAAGTAATCCACAGCACTCCAGTCCATCAGTTAACATCTGGAGAAGACAAAAGCTGAAACAAATCCAGCATTAAGATGCTTTTAACTAAAATACATTGAGTCTATAATCCATAATAACTCTTCCTCCAGTGAAAAAGTGCATCTAAAATTCATAGTAAAAAGTAGGACTTGTCTAAGAGTAGGAGACTTTTATAAAGAAGCTAAAAGCAGCTTTCAGTAAAGTCTGAGACTGATTCTTAAGTGTTGACTGAGGTGACACTTAAGTGTTGTGAACTAAGGACTACAATGATGTCAACCCTCGACCTCTGAATCAGCCAATAGTGAGCTTGCTCATGTGAAGTCACAGCAGCACAACACCAATCATTTAATGCAACTACAATACAATCATTTCATTAAGACACTGAAATATTTTAATATTTAAATTTTTTTTTTTTTTAATGCTTTGCATTGCGCAAAATTATCACAAATTATTACTGATGCTTCGTTTTCTATTGGTATGTCTCCTGGTTTACAGTTAGAGCAGTGATGTGAACATGAGTTCCATCAACGGCTCCAGTAACTCCAGGAAAGCCCACAATCCTCACAAAAGTTGTTTTTGCAGCATGGTTTGGCCGTCAGTTGAAAAGTTAATTCATTGCCATATAGTAGTGGCCAAAAGTGATGTCCGGCCTAGGAAATTTCACCCTTAATTAAAATAAATTAATAAATGAATGTGCATGATTTTGTAAGCATATTGCATAGTTGCTTAGTCAGCTGTTTTATTTGTGATAATAATGCAATGAAACAAGCCAAATTGTGCGGTCATAATTTTTGGCATGCTATCATACAAAGACATTATGAACACATGCAAAAACAAGAGGACCACTGAAATGTAAATAACGTATGTTGTAGTCAATGTGCCAATGTTGCCAATTTAGTGATTTTGTCACTAGATTTAGTGACTTCCGCATCCCTTTAGAGACTTTTTTCAAAAACCTAGCAACAAAATAAATTTCTTGGACAAAGAGCCAAACAAAAATTTAAAACTTATTTTGTAGTCAGTGTGCCAGTGTTGCCAATTTAGTGATTTTTGTCACTACACTTCCGCATCCCTTTAGAGACTTTTTTCAAAAACCTAGCAACAAAATCAATTTCTTGGACAAACGTTATCTACATTCCGAGACTCTCTCATGACGTCATAACTGGTCTACAGTATATAAATATAAATATAGATCAGTGAACGCACCTTTATGAGGTCATCTAGCAACATTAAGTGACCAGTTTTAGCTACTTTCAGTTGAACGCAGTTGGCAACATTGGTCAGTGTTTTTTTGTCCTTTGTATTTTAACGGTTTAAGTGAAATGTGGGGTCATAAAAAAAAAAAAAATCAAAGCACTGTTGTGTTTGGTGGGGTTAGTGCCACAATATGTAAGAACCTGCTTACTGTGTCATTATGTAAGACCCTGCTTACTGTGTCATCACCGGTGCATTGCTGCATGTTTCCAATTTTCCAGCCAAAAAAAATGAATTACTACTTTCATGTCTGCTGTTAGAGCATTGACTTGTTGAGTGGAAGAGGTTATTACATTTTTTACTTTATCAGTTAAAGTTTTTATCAAAAAAGACTTTTTGATCTTTACAATTAAGTTTGTATTGTTTTATCAACTCCATATCATCATATAACTCCAATATATGTTCGCTGGAAAGTGTTTGTCGTCTCCTCGTTGCTGCCATCTTGTTACTCCTAACTAGGTTAGGAGACCTCTCCAGCTCTCTTAAATCATTTAGGAGCTGAGACCTCTTTTAACACTTAGGAACCTTTATGAATCACTCTTATTCTTAAGTCTAGGAATAAGAGTAAAATTACGTCATTCTTAGATTAAGTTTGTATTGTTTTATCAACTCCATATCATCATATAACTCCAATATATGTTCGCTGGAAAGTGTTTGTCGTCTCCTCGTTGCTGCCATCTTGTTACTCCTAACTAGGTTAGGAGACCTCTCCAGCTCTCTTAAATCATTTAGGAGCTGAGACCTAGTCTTAACACTTAGGAACCTTTATGAATCAATCTTATTCTTAAGTCTAGGCATAAGAGTAACATTACGTCATTCTTAAAATTTTGACACACTTAGGACTAAACTTTTACTTTGAGCGGCTTTATACATACGGCCCCAGGTTTTTTTTTATTTGTGCACATTTTCAGCTCATTTGCATTTATGGGTGAACTGTTCCTTTAAAGGCGCTGTTTGTTTTGTGCGCAGCGCCACCTTGTGGTTCAAAGTTAACCGACTAGTCAATATTAGCAGCACAAGACTAGAAATACCCATTGAACAGAATTATTACTGTTACTGAATTAAAAACAACAAGTACTACTACTATTATTATTACTACTTTGAACAAATCATGTTTTTTATGGTTTGGGCAACTGCTGCAAATTATTGCTGTTTGTTTGCATGCAGTCTGATGTAATAAAGCCCGTATTTATGTATTTATTACTTTATAAATGTATGGTGTTTGTATTATTTATTAAAGTTGACTCCAAACGCACTAGGATTATTTATTTATTAGTGTGTCTACGGTCAAACTAACGAGGCAGGCGTGCAGCAGCCGCGTCTGTTTCCGCCGGAAGTCCAGCTCGCGGAGAGCGAGAGTCACTTCCTGTAGAGGGTTTGTGTTTGTGTCTGTTTGGGTTTCTTCAGCGGTTGTGTGGTCAGATCTCCCAGACTCGTGTTTCTGCTCTCTGTCATGCTTTATTCTGCACACTGACTGCTCTCCGGTGAGTGTGTGTCTGGCTCTCTCTCATATTTCTCTCATATTTCATCTCTAGCATCTCCAGAAAGCAGCGCAGGGATGTAAACACAGCTCGAGCTCCTCGCTCGGGTTTGATGTTATGCTCTTTATGCTCTCATACTTTGGTTATTAATGTTTTTCTGGGTGTTATTTGCATTTGTCGTAGCTTTATTCTCATCTGCTGTTTTAGAATTGTTGTCATGTTGCTTCAAAGCTGCTTTCTGTTCCATCTGTGTGATAACAGCTCCGACATAATTCAGATTATCTTATAATATATTGCACTATATCAATTTTATTATTTATGTTTCATTGGTTTCACGCTGCTATACAGTGCAATATATTACTGTATGCTGGAATTTATTTAATATATTAAGCATTATAAAATTGATATATTAGGAAAAAAGTGTTTTTATTATAGACTACATTTTAAAAATCAGACATTTTATAACATTTGGCACAGCCAAACTAATGTGTTCATAATAATAATAATAATAATTTATTTATATTTTTTATGTAATTTTATCATTTATATATATTTTTTGTTATTAGCATTTATTATTATTTATTAATAATTATTATTATTGTTGTTTTTGTTAATGTTCTGTAGAAATAATTGTGACTGATTATTTGATTGATTTTTAAAATAATAGTACAAATAATTATTAATATGCTCTATCAATAACAGCCACAGCTGTGTATATTGGTGCACTATAATAATAATAATCTTTATAATAATTATAAAATAATAATTAATTAATGGTTTTCTGTTGTGCATTAAATATTTAAAACTTTCTGTCACTAAATAAACAAAATAATAGTACAAATAATTATTAATTTGATCTGTCAATAACAGCCACAGCTGTCTATATTGGTGCACTATAATAATAATAATAATTATAAAATAATTAGTTAATAGTTTTTTGTTGTGCATTACATTTTTAAAACTTTCTGTCACTAAATAAACAAAATAGTAGTACACATAATTATTAATTCTCACAATAACAGCCAAAGCTATCTATACTCTCACATTGTTGAATTATGACATTGTTTTATATTATTAAATGTCAATATTAAATAGTACTATATTGTTGAATTATTAAATTACTTTTATTATGCAAAGTTACTCTAAATATCACCAGTAACATATTAAATATTTTTGATTTTTTTTTTAATGTTATTAAACGTTACTAGTAAAATATTATACAGTTGAAATCGAATTAGAAAATTGTAAAAATCAAGTTAAAATAAGCAAAAGTTGACACATTTGTAATAAAAGTCTGTGGAGCCAGTGATCACAAAAATGGAGAACTTTCTATATTGATGGGCAATCATTATAATTATAATGCATTTCATAGCAACGTTCATGCATAAAATAGAGCTCACACGTCAGAAAAACATTAAAAAAAACATAAAAAGTGATACAAATAAATGGCGTAACATGAGACCTACACATAATTGCTCAAATGCGTCCCTGTGTTAAGTCCAGGGTGACATATCAGTTTTATTTGAATATGGTACCGTTTCAGGCTGTGTGAAGTGTGTGTGTTGGCTCTGGTGTGTTCAGATGTGTTTGCTATGGAGTCTCCAGCGCTGGATGATGATATCTGTATCCTGAAGCATGAGACGGCGTACGTCTCGCCCGAGAGCCCCGTGTCCGCGTGCGCCGGAGACGAGTCGGTGGCGTCTCACTTCGCTCTGGTCACCGCCTACGAGGACATCAAGAAGAGACTCCGAGACACGGAGAAGGAGAACGGCCTGCTGCGCCGGAGAGTCAAGCAGCTGGAGGACAAGGTCTTACTCTCAAGCTTTGTGAGCAAGTCTAGCACAAACTCACATCACAGGGCTTCAAACCAGACAGACGTGAAGTGTAGACACTGCAGGCGGAAACACTGGTTTTTCATGCACCTGTTAAATATAATGCTTTTTGGTTTTTCAGACTAGTGGAAAGAGTTTCTTTTAGAGCACTTTATCTGTTTGTGTCAATAGATTTCAATTACAATACATGTTTTAGTTGTTTCTCCTGCACTGAGCCATAAATCTCCACTTCAGCAGCACTTACACACACCAAACTGTACATTTTTATTCCTATAGTCTGTATCCTGACGGGTTTTACAGAGGGATTTGTTCCTGTATAATTTGCTTGATTATATACAACATTTTATTCCCCCCAAAAACTGTGAAAATATAGTGTTTTCTGTCCGTTCTAAGCATTTTTGACAAAAATTAGGTACCCAAAATTCCCTCTGTAAACACTTTTTACTCTAATATGTCAAAAAAATAAATTAGAAAACAAGAATTGTGATTTTTGTACTAGAAATGTATGCAAATTAGTGCATATTTAATTAAACAATGACTCATTTGCATATTTAAACCTAACATTTTAGAAAACTAAAAGTTTGCAATTATCAATGTAATCAATCAGCTGGGTAACTAAGGCCATAACTATTAGTTTTTTTTTTTAACCTTTTTTGCCTTATTAAATAATGAAAAATGATAGTATTATTAAATTAATGTACATCATTAAATTAAATATTATTTTCAATATTATTATTACTATTAAAACATTAAATATTATATTATTAACTATTGTTACATTATTAAAATAAAAAAGTGTTATTAAATAATTCTTATTATACTATTATAATTTATGTTACTAGTAAAATATTACATGTATTGTTCTATTATTAAACTATTATTATATTATTATTCAATTATTAAAGTAAATGATGTATTAAAATGATATTGTTAATGTTTCCATTAATATATCCATTGTTGCTGATATGGCGTTAAAACATAAATAAATTAATAAATTTAATTATTAAATGTCACTAGTAAAATATTAAATATTATGTTATTTAATTAAATTATTATTATTTTGTCAAATTACTTTTATTATATAAAATTATTAAATGTCACTAGTAAAATATAAAATAGTATAATATTATTTGATTATGATTTTTATTATGTTAGATTGTTAAATGTTTCTAGTAAAATATTAAATAATATATTTAATCATTACATTGTTATATTATTAAATGTTACTAGTGAAATATTAAATATTACTATATTGCTGAATTATTAAAGTACTTTTATTATGTTAAATTATTAAATGTCACTAGTAAAACATTAAATATTATATTGTTGAATTAAATAATTTTTATTATATTAAATTATTAAATCTTACTAGTGCAATATTAAATATTGTTGAATTGTTACATTTTTATATTATTAAATGTTACTAGTAAAATATTTAATATTACTATATTGTTGAATTATTAAAGTAGTTTTATTATATTAAATTATTAAATGCCACTAGTAAAATATTAAACATTATATTGCTGAATTATTAAAGTACTTTTATTATATTAAATTATTAAATGCCACTAGTAAAATATTAAACATTATATTGCTGAATTATTAAAGTACTTTTATTATATTAAATTATTAAATGCCACTAGTAAAATATTAAACATTATATTGCTGAATTATTAAAGTACTTTTATTATATTAAATTATTAAATGCCACTAGTAAAATATTAAACATTATATTGTTGAATTGTTAAATTATTTTTATTATATTAAATTATTCAATCTTACTAGTAAAATATTAAATGTTGCAATTATATTGTTGAATTATTACATTGTTATATTATTAAATCTTACTAGTAAACTATTAAATATTACTATATTGTTACATTTTTAAATTGCTTTTATTATGCAAAATTACTAAATATCACTATTAAAATTTTATATATTATATTGTTGAATTATCACATTATTTTTATATTATTAAATTGTATTAGTAAAATATTATAAAAGTGAAAAATTCTGAAATATTAAGTTAAAATAATTAAGGCATATTTTCTGTCATTGTTTGTTTGTTTTGTTTTTTTTAACACATTTACAATAAAAGTCTGCAGCCAGTGATCACAAGGGTTAAAAACAGAGAAATGTGAAGCTTGATTTTTTTTTTGTTAAAGCATTTTCATGAATTATTCACTAAAAGCTGTTTATTCCTGCTGTGACGTGTGTGCACCCTCAGATTCCAGGTTTTGTGCTCCAGGGTCACAAATAATACATTATATTTGTAAATTATCAAATGTTACTAGTAAAATATTAAATGTTATGATATTGTTGAATTATGACATTATTTTTATATGATTAAATGTTACTAGTAAATATTCTATTATTATATAATATTATTCTAATATTCGAGTAAAATCAGTAAAAACGTTTTCTGCACTCTCTTATTAAAAATAAATATATTGAATTGAGTACTATTAAAGTATAAAATAATATTAAAGTATGTTATAGGATAAAATATTATTATATTGTTGAATTATTAAATTATTATACGGTTAAATTATTAAAAGTTACTAGTAAATTCTTATATTATGTTGTTAAATTAATCAATTATTTCTATATTTAAAAAAAATTACTAGTAAAGTATTAAATATGATTAATAAAATACAGTAAAAATCAAATTAAAATAAGTTGTTTTTTGCACTGTTTATAAGTAAATTCATAGTAAATTATTTTATTAAATATTATAATATTAAATTAATAATATTCTTACATGCTTAGTTATGAAATATTATATTGTTGAAATGTTAAATAGTAATATATTACATATTACTAGCATACAGTAAAAACCTAGTTTAAGTAATGTTTTCCGCACTGTTTCTCAGTAAATGAACACAAGAATATTTAATCATTTTCATTGTAGCATAACTGCATACAAACGGCAATATTAATACAAATATATTTTTACTAAAACAAGTTAAAATCAAATATGAATTGAGGCTGTGATGATGTGAACAAATTATTAATATATAGTATATCATGAATATTCAGTATGGCCTGTTGCGTTGAATATTGTAGTTCAACAGTTGTTTTTCTCCTGTCAGTGATGAAGAGTCTGACTGATACGGCAGATTACTGGCAGGTGGACAAACGCAGCAGTGAAATGAAGATCCACTCTCTGCAGGAGCAGCTGGACCGCTTACAGATAGAGAATGACGCGCTGCACAAGCTCTGCAGGGCCGGACAGGTGCGTCGCAACCTCTGCGCTAGACTTGTTACACACGTGCTACATCCTCGCTACACCCCCGCTACATCTGCACTATATCTGCGCTACATCCCCGCTACATCTGCACTACACCCGCACTATATCTGCCCTACACCTTCACTACACCCCCGCTACATCTGCACTACACCTGCACTACACTCGCGCTACACCTTCACTACACCCCCGCTACATCTGCACTACACCTGCACTATATCTGCCCTACACCTGCACTACACCCCCACTACATCTGCACTATATCTGCCCTACACCCCCGCTACATCTGCATTACATCTGCACTATGTCTGCCCTACACCTGCACTACACCCCCGCTACATCTGCACTACACCTTCACTACACCCCCGCTACATCTGCACTACATCTGCCCTACACCTGCGCTACACCCCCGCTACATCTGCATTACACCTGCCCTACACCTGCGCTACATCCCCGCTATATCTGCACTACACCTGCACTATATCTGCCCTACACCTGCGCTACACTCCTGCTACATCTGCACTACACCTGCACTATATCTGCCCTACACCTGCACTACACCCCCGCTACATCTGCACTATATCTGCCCTACACCCCGCTACATCTGCATTACACCTGCACTACACCTGCACTATATCTGCCCTATACCTGCACTACACCCCCGCTACATCTGCACTACACCTGCACTATGTCTGCCCTACACCCGCGCTACACCCCGCTACATCTGCACTACACCTGCACTATATCTGCCCTACACCTGCACTACACCCCTGCTACATCTGCACTACACCTGCACTATAGCTGCCCTACACCTGCGCTACACCCCCAGTACATCTGCACTACACCTGCACTATATCTGCCCTACACCTGCACTACACCTCCGCTACATCTGCACTATATCTGCCCTACACCTGCGCTACACCCCCACTACATCTCCTCAACACCTGCACTACACCCCCGCTACATCTGCACTATACCTGCACTATATCTGCCCAAAACCTGCGCTACACCCCCTCTACATCTGCACTACACCTGCACTATATCTGCCCTACACCTGCACTACACCCCTGCTACATCTGCACTACATCTGCTCTACATGTGCACTACATCTGCGCTTCATGTGCACTACACCTGTGCTACATCTGCACTACACCTGTGCTACATTTGCACTATATCTGCCCTACACTTGCACTACACCCCCGCTACATCTGCACTACACCTGCACTACACCCCCGCTACATCGCCGCTACACCTGCACTACACCCCGCTACAGCTGCATTACACCTGTGCTACACGTGCTCTACACCTGCACTACATCTGCTCTACACCTGCACTACACCTGTGCTACATCTGCACTATATCAGCCCTACACCTGCGTTACATCCCCGTTACATCTGCCCTACACCCTTGCTACATCTGTGCTACATGTGCACTACACCCACACCAAACCCCCGCTACACCTGCGCTACAACCGCAGTACACCCACGCTACATCTGCCCTACACATGCACTACACCCTTGCTACATCTGTGCTACACGTGCCCTACATCTGCGCTGCACCCACACCACAACCCCGTTACACCTGCGCTACAACCGCACTACAGTACACCTGCCCTACACCTGCATTATATCTGCACTACACCTGTTACACCCGTGCTACACCTGTGCTGCACCCGTATTACACTTGCGCTACACCTGCGCAACGTCTGTGCTACATCTCTGTTACACCTGTGCTGCTTGTGGCTGATCAAACTTTCAGAGCAGGTTTTTGTCATGCCAACATCAAAGTTTGTCTCATCAACAAGCTGTGTGATGAAAAGTGTTGTTCATGTTTGTAGCTCAAACAGTGTAAGTCACGTCACATGCTGAATTTAATGTGTAATGCTTTATTGAAATAAAATAGAACAAGTTGTACATAAATATGCGCACACACACACACACACACACACACACATATATATATATATATATATATATGTGTGTGTATATAGTATGTAATATATATATAAATATAGATATAGAATGTTTACATATATACATTTACTTATATCTTTTTATTGTATATATAGAATTTATTATTTAAAAATTATTTAATAAATTTATGTATTTATTTTATGTGTACAATTTATTATATAATAAAAATAAATTGTAGATAAGTGGATTATATTTATATATAAAATAATATAGTTAATATTTTTATAACTTTTATTTTATGTATACAATTTAATATTTAAATAAAATATAATGTGTGTTTCTCTCATGATCTTCTCTTCTCAGGATGTCTCTGAAAACTGTGTAGTTGATGATGATCAGTCTCTTGAAGCTCTGACAGACTTCAGGTATTTATGACATTAGTTTTCTCTGATTGTGTGTGTGTGTGTGAGTGTGTCTGTTTGAGTGTGAGTGTGAGTGTGTGTGAGTGTCTGTCTGTGTCTGTGTGTGTCTGTGTGTGTCTGTGTGTGTCTGTCTGTCTGTGTCTGAGTGTACGTCTGTGAGCGTGTGTGTGTGTGCGTGTGTGTGTGTGAGTGTGTGCGTGTGTGTCTGTGAGTGTGTGTGTGTGTGTGTGTGTGTGTGTGTGTGTGTGTGTGTGTGTGTGTGTGTGTGTGTGTGTGTGTGTGTGTGTGAGTGTGTGTGTGAGTGTGTGTGTGTGTGAGTGTGTGTCTGTGTGTGTCTGTGTCTGTGAGTGTGTACGTCTGTGAGTGCGTGTGTGTGTGAGTGTGTGCGTGTGTGTCTGTGAGTGTGCGTGTGTGTCTGAGTGTGTCTGTGAGTGTGTGTGTGTGAGTGTGTGTGTCTGTGAGTGTGTGTGTCTGTGAGTGTGTGTATCTGTGAGTCTGTGAGTCTGTACTGCAGGCGTCCACTAGAGGGAGTGATTGTAACAGCTATGAGATGATCAATGAAATGACATTTAACATCACATAATGGACACATTGTTTTCACTAATGTAAATCAAGCCGCAGGTTCCCACAATTATGGAGATGACAGGAAATATTAAAATTTTTTCCCTTTCTATAGTTCTAAGCATTTTCATAGTGAAGACACATTTCTTAAATATTTCACATGTAGAGTAAAATATGCTAAATAGCTCAAACTGAAATAAAAAATAATAAAAACTATAGAGACAAAATGACAAAAAATAACCCTGATATACACATGCATGCTGTCACATTAACAACAGTGGAAATTAAAAAGCATAAAGATGAGTGTTATTAATAAAAGTGATTCTGATGTGATGTATATGTTGTGTGCTGTGTTTAGGACGATGGCCATCGTTCAGTCGTATCGGGACGTCCTCAGTGAAGTGTCCCATTTGCAGTCAGTCGTTCAGTCACAGTCAGAGCTGGTGAAGAAGATGAGAGAGAGACCAGCGCCGCCTGTCTTCAGAAGAGGTGAGTTCACCCTCGTGCATAAGAATAAGACCTTAACAGCTGTTATTTATGGAAGCTTTATGCCACAGAATAAAAATATAGAATGGTACACTACCGCTCAAAAGTTTGGGATCAGAGCGATTTTTTATGTTTTTTGCAGAAGTCTCTTCTGCTCATCAAGGCTGCATTTATTTGATTAAAAATACCGGAAAAACAGTAATATTGTGAAATATTATTGTGATGTAAAATAACATTTTTCTATTTTAATATACATTAAAATCTAATTTATTCCTGTGATGCGCAGCTGTATTTTCAGCATCATTTCTCCAGTCTTCAGTGTTTCACGATCATCAGAAATCATTCTAATATGCTGATTTATTATCAGTGCTGGAAACTGTTGCTGCTTCATATTGTTTTGGAACTTTTGTGATACTTTTTTCAGGATTCTTTGATGAATAAAAAGTTAAAAAAGAAGAGCATTTATTTAAAATATAAATATTTTCTAACAATATACACTACCGTTCAAAAGTTTGGGGTCAGTAAATATTTATTCTTTCTTTTTTTAAAAGAAATTAAAACTTTTATTCAGCAAGGATGTGTTAAATTGATAAGAAGTGATAGCAAAGATTTATATTGTTAGAAAAGATTCATATTTTGAATAAATGCTGTTCTTTTTTAACTTTTTATTCATCGGTTCTTTTTAACTTTTTATTCATCAAAGAATCCTGAAAAATTATCGCAGTTTTAAAAAAAAAACATTGATAATTCTAATAATAAATCAGCACGTTATACTGATTTCTGAAGATCATGTGACGCTTTATACTGGAGTAATGATGCTGAAAATACAGCTTTGCATCACAAATAAATTACAGTTTAACAGATATTAAAATAGAAATCATTATTTTATATTGTAATAACATTTTGCAAGATTACTGTTTTTTTTCTGTATTTTTAATCAAATAAATGCAGCCTTGATGAGCAGGAGAGACTTCTTTAAAAACATTACAAATCTTACTGATCCCAAACTTTTGAGCGGTAGTGTAGTTGTGAGTTTAGATCTCACGGTTCTTACTTTTTTTCTCGCAATTGTTTTTTTTTTTCTGTATTGTTTCTGCCACAGAATAAAAAGGAAGCTGTGACTTTTTGTCTCATATTTCTCATAAAAGAAAGAAAAGTTTTTTTTATCGCAATTGCAAGTTTGTATCTCACAATTTGGACATCAAAGCTCAGTTTATATGTAACTTTTTTTTTTTTTTTTTTTTTTGCCACCGAATAAAAATAACAGCTAATTGCAACATTGTATCTCACAGTTCAGACATTTCTTCTTATAATTGTGAGTTTGTATCTCGCAATTGTAAGTTATGAAATTGTAATTGTGAGTTTACATCTTGCAATTCTGTATATTTATCTTGCAGAAATAAAAAAATAAAAAAGGTAATTGCAGCTTTTTTCATACAATTGTAGTCACAAGTGTGAGAATTAAGAGAGAGTTTATCTTGCATTTCTGGGTGAAAATTGTGAGATATAAACTCTTTATGATTTATTATTATTTTTATTCTGTAGCAGAAATAAGTTTCTGTAATTATTAATTCATGTTATTAAATATAAAAATGTATAGTTCACTCAATAGTAACTATTCTTTCTCCATCCTCAAGTCGCTCCAACACTTATTTTATCATTACTATAGTATTATATTATTTAGCGTGGTTCTTTTTTGTCCTTTTTGGTGCTTGAGAGTATAAATCACTGTCCACGTTTATTTGGTGCTGGTTTGTGTGCTTTTGTGTTGCACAGTAGAAAGAAAATGATAAAAGTCCAACAGTAGGCTGAGTAAATGAGTTTGGGTGAAGTATTAAAAATGTTCAGTCAACATAAAGCCAAAAAACCAACAGCAGAAACAAAAATAATCCATCATACTCGCAGCTGTGACTGTATTTGCATGCAAGCATTCAGCAGCCGCTCTGATTCATAGTGACTTACGTTACAGTCAAGCTGTACATTAGATTTGCATTTAAATGCACGGATAAAGGCTCTTTTTGTCTATTCAAGGACATGTGTTTTTGAGTGATATTCATTTGGCGGCTTTTCTCAATATTAATTTGATTAATTTAATTTGCATAGTATGTCATTAATTCAGTAGATTTCAGTGGTTGCATCATCATGAAAGTGCCTTTGTGCCATTTTTCATCTATTAAAATGTTTTAGTAAAAAATATTGTTATATTGGGCTTATAAATAAATGCTTATTTGAGAGTAAATGCATAATATATACACTACCTGTCAGAAGTTTGGAATAATTAAGATGTTTTTTTTTTAAGAAGTCTCTTCTGCTCACCAAGGCTGCATTTATTTGATAAAAAATACAGTAAAAATTGTAAAATATTATTAGAATCTAAAACAGCTGTTTTCTATGTGAATATCTGTTAAAATGTAATTTATTTCTGTGATCAAAGCTGTATTTTCAGCATCATTACTCCAGTCTTCAGTGTCACATGATCTTCAGAAATCATTCAATAATAATGTTTCTTGAGCAGCAAATCAGCATCTTCTTTCCAAAATATTTTTTAAAAATCTTCAATTATTCCTAACTTTTATATAGTAGTGTATTTAATATGTCATTAAAAGGATGAAAAATATCAGGCAGGATGATATAGAGAGCTTCTCTTGACATACATCACATACAAATGCTATTTGAACACTTTTTTTTTTATAAGAATAATTAGAATTAAAAGAATAATTATTTCTGCTACTGTATCTATTAATTCTGCACATGCATATGCAGTTGAAAGATGTGTTGTCTGCTGTCGTAGATTGGGATCTGAGGTCATGTCAGCTCAGGTGTGAATCATCAGCGCTTTATATTACTGTGTGTGTGTGTGACTGTGAATGTGTGAGTGTGTCGTGTGAGTGTGTCGTGTGTGCGTGTGTGTGAGTGTGTGTGTGCGTGGTCTGTGTGTGTGTGTGTGTGTGAGTGTGAGTGTGAGTGTGTGTGTGTGACTGTGAGCGCGTGAGTGCGTGTGTGAGTGCGTGTGTGAGTGCGTGTGTGAGTGCGTGTGTGAGTGCGTGTGTGAGTGCGTGTGTGAGTGCGTGTGTGAGTGCGTGTGTGAGTGCGTGTGTGAGTGCGTGTGTGAGTGCGTGTGTGAGTGCGTGTGTGAGTGCGTGTGTGAGTGCGTGTGTGAGTGCGTGTGTGAGTGCGTGTGTGAGTGCGTGTGTGAGTGCGTGTGTGAGTGCGTGTGTGAGTGCGTGTGTGAGTGCGTGTGTGAGTGCGTGTGTGAGTGCGTGTGTGAGTGCGTGTGTGAGTGCGTGTGTGAGTGCGTGTGTGAGTGCGTGTGTGAGTGCGTGTGTGAGTGCGTGTGTGAGTGCGTGTGTGAGTGCGTGTGTGAGTGCGTGTGTGAGTGCGTGTGTGAGTGCGTGTGTGAGTGCGTGTGTGAGTGCGTGTGTGAGTGCGTGTGTGAGTGCGTGTGTGTGTGCGTGTGTGTGTGTGTTGCTGTGGTTCTCGTCTGTCTGGGATTGTCAGTATTCCCTGTGTGTCGCAGAGGAGAAGCAAAAGGTGCAAATTAGAATGAGTGTTAAAAATGAGGAAGAGCTCCATGTGTATTTCAGCAAATCATGAGCTGGCGGCAGCAGCGTGTGAGGAAATATGTCTTTTCTTTAAGATATAGCCCATGTATTCCTCTGAGAGGTCAACGACATAATCAGTTTTCAAATGAGCCCCTCGTTGTTTCTTGAGATGAGAAGTGGTTAGTGATGTGTGTGAATCTGTGCATCCCCGAGGAGCACTAATGCATGGCTTGTTTATGTTACTGCACTCGCCATCTGTGCTGGTAAAAATAGTGCTCGCTCTCTCTGGTGATCTGGTTTGAGTTCAAACTTTATAGCCAGGTGAGTCTCACAAACAGATCTACATCATTTCATCCCAGCTAAAAAAAAAAAAGACAAGAAATTGAATGTTTTTAGGATTTTGCAAGCTATTTTTTAATTTACATAATCTATTATTTTCTCATATAGTATACATATAAAATAATTTATAATAAAAAAGACTATTTATTCATTAATTCATTCATGTAATCTATTATTTTCTATTATGTATATAAAATAAGGCTCATAATATATAATAGTAATTATAGATTAAATAAATAAATGTAGATAAAATTAATTAATTTAGTGAGTCAGGCTGTTGTGAGTGCACTCAGTAGACAGCATGTTTTGTAGCTGTAGTGTGTTTGTGGGAGTTTCTGAGGTGTGTAATAAATCCAGAGGCTGTCGGTTTCAGCTGCTTCAACTGTTCCAGTGCAGTGCCTGGACGACGTGCAGAAGAGCAGCGTCCCTCGTCCTCCCAGCGCGCCTCCGCTGCCCTCGACTCCAGACGGCCTGCAGGAGAACTGCCTGAAGGACCCTTGGGCCGTCCCTCGTCCGGCTCCGCTGGGCAGCCCCGGCGTGCGGCTCAATCCCACTCTGCGCATGAGCTCGCTGGACGACAGCTCCTGGTCCTTCCCCAGCACTCCCCGTCCAAGCGACGCCCTGTTCTGGGACCAAACCAAGCCCAAGAGCCCCGCCGGCGACTGGGCCCAACCGCACTGAGTCACGCTCCCGCCACGCCACACCTTACCTGCCTTAACACACACGTCCCTGTCTGGATGATCCCGGATGAGCAAATACCTCGAGCAGACTGGGACGGAGAAACCCACACGGGACACCAAACACCCGAGAGCCGGACGCTGGAATGGACACGTTCCTGACGTATATTTGTGATTCATTATATCCTATAGGCTTGTGTTCATCTCGAGTCGATTCTATTAACCGTGACGGATCCTGTCTCGTATTATGAACGTGTAAGGGGAATGTTTTAGTAGTTCACGCACTCCTCGAAGGATTTTTCTTTAGAAACACATCTGTCATGTTTTTATACCCATACAGCTGTTCAAACCCCAAATCAGGGGAAACAAAGTTTTAGTGTTTAGATTTAGTCAATAAATGAGCTGATCTGTGGGCAGCGGGTTTGTTTGTGCAAGTTATTTTGCTTTAAACGGGGTCTCGCAGTCAACCTGAAAATTTGCATATTAAAAAGTCTTTCTATAGTAAATGATCGACTTTTTTTAGGGGCAGAGAACTTACTGTATCCGTTAGTTTTCTTCCTCTGCTCTTGAGTCTATGGCAGCCCACAGAACCGCTTGCGAGAAAGGGATGAAATTTGGCACACAGATAGAAGACAGTCTCAACATTAACCATAGCAAATTTGGAGTCTCAAACCCTATAGCGTCACCAACAGCTCAAATTTGCACTCATGTTTATGCTAATAACTTTTGAACCGTAAAGTCTAGCAAAAGCAAAATTCTTTTCAAAATTTCTCTAAAAAATTCAGAATTCCTTTAACAAACAAAATTACTCGGCTCATGCTGATTCGATGGCACCCTATGATGTCATTTTCCATCATGAAAATTTTCCTGCCATTTTGAATTTTTCGAAAAACTTGCTTCTTTTTGAATTGCTCCTAGGCTGTTGCTCCAATTTTCAGGAAATTTGACTCGGATCATCTTCAGACCATGCCGACAAAAAGTTATGGAATTCAAGTTGATTAGTCAAACTTTTCTTGAATAACGCGCAAACAAATTTGTCAAAGAGCATGCCAAAATGGAAGTGAGGCTTTATCTCTGCAACGCTTTAGCGTATTGAGATCAAACATGGTGTGTGTTATAACAACCATGACTTGAGAATACCTGTACAGTTTCGGCACAGCGCCACCTAGTGGTCAGGAGATATGACAAATGGTTATTTTTGAACAATTTGTCCAAAAATCACAAAACTGTTCATTTTCAATTTGGTAATGACAAACTGAGTCAAATGATACACCACATTAGCTATTTTGGGAGTTGGCCATTTTTAATTTAGTCAGTTTTGTCGTAAAATCACAAAACTTGGTATGCATCTTTGACACCACACCCTGAAGATACTCAAAAAGTTTTGGGGCAGTGCCACTTTGTGGTAAAAAATCTGAATTAAATTTTTAAAAATGCTAATAGCCAAACTCCTCCTGGACCATTGGTCCGATTTTTACCAAATTTGACTCAGATCATCTTCAGACCATGCCGACAAAAAGTTATGAATTTTGTGTCGATAGACAAAACGGTTTTTGTTTAACGCATCAACAAATTTGATGACAGCAAACACGCTGCCATACTGCATCTGAGGCTGTATCTCTGCAAAGCTTTGACATATTGACACCAAACTGTATGTGTGTATTTGTCACCTCACACTGACCTCACCACATCAATTTGACAACAGCGCCACCTATTGGTCAAAAGCGATAAACCATTGCATCATATTACTAGTGAGTGCATTTGATTTAGCCAACCATTTTGGCTAAAGTCATCTTTAAATGCCTTGCTTAGCTCCTCATTTGCCTCATTTTGTTGTGTTTGGCTCCTTAATTGCTATATTTAAGATTCTTGCAATTCTCGAAGAATCAGAAACTGAAGCCCTGTTTAAAGTCAACATGAAACATGCCATTTTACTTCTCTAATCTGACGAGTATTCATTAAGAAGATACGATTTTATCCATCAGGAATCAATGGATCTGGTTATGAAAGGCTTTCTTTTAAATCTTTTGTGTTGATTAATGATTGTAATGTTTTTTTTTCTTTAGAATAACGTGCACTGATGAATCTTTCAAAGATGTTTGTAAAAAAAAAAATATATATATGGCCAAAATCTGAGACAAACGGCATTAATAATGTACAGAGACACAAGTAGTCGGTGTTTCTAATGACGGACGAGTGTTTGTCACAGATCACAGTAAAATGTTTTGTCTTGATACCAACTGCGTTCTGTCCTGTTTAAAGAAATGTGAAGCACAAAGCTGATGAAAAATCTATTGTATGTGTATATAAAACTTAGAATAGTCTACAGGTTCCACTTTGAGAAACAACTGGTATTGAAGGTTATCTTGTGCCGATAGTTCACCCTAAAATGAAAATTCTGTAATTATTTACTCTCCTCGGAACACAATTGAAGATATTTTAATGAAATCCGAAGTTTCTGTCCCTCCACTGACAGCCTGAGCAACTTTCACTTCGAAGGCCCAGAAAGGCAGTGAAAGCATCATGGAAGTAGAACGTTACTCCACTGGTTAATTTCCCGAAGCGATGGGAATAGCAACTATATTCAACATTTTCTTCGCTTCCGCTTAATGACAGAATTTACATTTTTGGGTGCACTATCCCTTTAAAAGCTGAGATTTGCCCGTTTGATCATGTGACCACAGCGCTTGATCTAATGCTCGCTGGAGGTTTTGTGTTTCTGGATACGTTTTGAAGTTTGATTTGACATGAAACACGTTCGGCTCTACTGCAACAGATCTGAGAACCAAATGCAATGTACAGTAGATTATTTTTTAGGATCATCAATCCTGAAAATGTGTAAATATTCAATAAACGAATTTATGTGAACATTTTTTTTGCTCAAGTCTAATGGTTAAAAGGTCTGATGTAACGTTGCTGTATCCGTGGAGGGTTGAGATGTGATTCTGTGATGATACATTCTGTAATTATTGTAACTTTGCATTTGAAGGATGAATATAAATTGTATCTGATGCTCTTATGACCGTTAGCTCTAACAAACTATCCCATTTTCAAAGGGTTTTGATTTTTGAGTGATAGAATTTTTCTTGTAAAAAAAATATTGTGCAGCACAACTGTTTTCAACATTGATAATAATCAGAAATGTTTCTAATAATCAGCATATTAGAATGATTTCTGAAGATCATGTGACACTGAAGACTGGAGTAATGATGCTGAAAATACAGCTGCGCATCACAGAAATAAATTACAGTTTAACAGATATTCACATAGAAAACAGCTGTTTTACATTCTAATAATATTTCACAATTTTTACTGTATTTTTGATCAAATAAATGCAGCCTTGGTGAGCAGAAGAGAGTTTTTAAAGACATTACTGACCCCAAGCTTTTTGTTATATATAATTTAAAATATTTTATTAATAGTACACAATATCACCAGTTATTTATATTACATTTAGCATTTTTAAAAAATGTTGCTACAGTGCTACAAACAATTACAGCCACTGAATTACAGCAGCTGAACGATCATTCCAGGAGGTTCTGATTGAACAACTTCCTGAATCTGAAGCACAAACTGAGTGAAAATCATCTGAACACGAGCATCATGAATAACTCGGAGCTATGGATTTTAAAACAAACAAACAAACAGCAGGTTCTGTGGCAGCAAGTCCCGGGGGTCGGTGGGACGATACACATCTGATGTGATTCAGAAACATTCTCTATGAATTCTTATTAGACTAGTGATGATTTATAAGAGCTAATCATGAATATAAACCACAGCAATGCAACAGATACAGAAAACATCCATCAGAGACAACAGCGTCTCCAAAAACGAGCAGAAATGACTTTCATGGTCCATCCTCCTCCTCATCCTCATCCTCGCTGCAGTGTTCTTCATCACGTTCATCACATGCTGGTGGGAAGCTTCTGCTTTCTGTTCTTGGCTGGAATCCCGGTCTGTTCGTATTCGCGTTTCTCTCTGAGATACTCCTGTTTGCACTCCTCGAAGAACGCAGGATCCTGATAACTGAGAGAAGAAACGCCATTCAGAGCACGATCACACACTAAAATACATGACAAAAACTCCTGCTTCATCAACATTTATCAAATAAACATGATCTTCAAACTTGATTTTCATGGCACTTTTTTGTTCTTTTATATATACGTGACCCTGGAGCACAAAACCAGTCATAAAGGTCAATTTTGTGAAATTGAGATTTATGCATCAGCTGAAAGCTGAATAAATAAGCTTTCCATTGATGTATGGTTTGTTAGGATAGGAGGACGATATTTGAAAACCTGGAATCTGAGGGTGCAAAAAAAATCTAAATATTGAGAAAATCATCTTTAAATGAAGTTCTTAGCAATGCATGTTACTAATCAAAAATTAAGTTTTGATATATTTACAGTAGGAAATTTACAAAATATCTTCATGGAACATGATCTTTACTTAATATCCTAATGATTTTTGGCATAAAAGAAAAATCTATAATTTTGACCCATACAATGTATTGTTGGCTATTGCTACAAATATACCCCAGCGACTTAACACTGCTTTTGTGCTCCAGGGTCACAAATGTATCAAATATCATGAACGTTTAAATTGTTAACATCATGAAAATATCTTTATAATTTTGTTACAATGTAACACTTTCTTGTGTCAGAAAAGATCTAAATATTGATTATCATGAACATCTAACAGCTACATTCTGACAGACACGAATTTACTTAAATATTTTATATTTTAAAACATAGCTAGTCCAGTGCTTTAATAACATAATAAAAATACATAATAATTGGTAAAAAAAAAAAATATTTTATACATTTTTGCAAGAATTTCTGCCTGTTTGTTATATATACATAAAAAAAAATATATATATAAATAAATAAACATATATATATATATATATATATATATATATATATATATGTAAAAAAGGGTTCTTAAAAATCTTTGTTTCAAGATTTTTATTAAATGAACCATGTTTTCAAACTTAATTTGCATGGTAATTTATTTATTTTTGTGACTAGCTCCATGAATGTTTGTATGGTAAATGTTATGAAATTATCCTAATATGACCATGTGCTTAAAAAAAACATTTTAAGAGACTTTGACTCACAATCATGAACATCTACAACTTCAATTTGGCAGACAAAGTTTTTCATTTATTTTATATTTTAAAACAAAGTCACTCCAGTGCTTTAATGACATAATAAAAATATGTAGTTAATAAAGAAAATAATCAATTATACAAAACTATGAAAAATGAAGCATAATGCAATTTTAGGATGAACCAACTAGACCATTTTGACTAGATATAAAATCAAGATTTTGATTAAATAAACCATGTTTTCAAACCTTTTTTTAGGATCTCTAGATGGATACCAACAAGACCAGACGTGCCCATTTATAAAAAAAAAAATAATTAAATAATAATAAAAAATAAAAAATAAAATATATATAATTTACATGACATCAAAATGCATTACATTATTGTTTAATAATAATCATAATAATTATTATTTTCTTCTTATTAATCACATTCACTAATATTGTGAATGGATACACCAGCTAGACCAGAGTAGCCCAAACTTTATAATAAGAAATATCAAAAATCAAACTTGACTGAGGGTTTGACCAAATGTAAATGTTGTATTATTTCCAGTTATATTATTTTAAAATGTATTAAATCAAATAATTAAAAAAAAAAAAAAAGTTTCATCAAATTTTAATTTCCTTAAATATTTTTTTATGTTTCAGTTTATTGTCAGCCATTTTTTAGGATCTCTGGACCAACAGGTGCCCAAACTCTGGGGGCTGTGGGACAGAAATAAATGCTGGATTATATTATATTATATTAAAATGTGTTATGCAAAAATAAATAATTAAAAATGGAAAAGTGTTAGATTTTAAAATATTTAAATGCTTAAAATCAAAACATTTCAGTGCAAAAATAAACAAAAGAAAAAAAGGCTAGAAATGATATGATGTGCTACAAAATGTTTACGGTTTGGGCATCTCTGAACTCGACCATTTTGACTTGTTCCTCTAAAAAGTTGATCAGAAAAGCAGTGGTTTGTGTGAATGAATGAAGAGACTCACTGCAGCGTCAGACACTCT